CTCTTTGAAATAACAGTGAGCTGGTAGCTGTGGTAGGGGTGAAGGAAGAAAGATTCTTTCTCATGGGTGTATGTGGTCAATACGTTATCTTACCATATATTGTTACCAGTTGCAGGTGTTCCTTATCATATAAAGATTTAAGTGTTATTATTATTCATTTGCTTATTGATGTATGGGAGTGCACAACCAAACTACAGTTGACTTTCTTAAACGTGCAGTACGATTACTGACGTTGAACAATATGATATTATAATGTTCGTTAGAAAAAGAGTGTGGATGTAGGTGGGTGTGGATATGCGTGTGCGTATGAAGTGTGTTGACTGTGGGTGTATGGGTGTGCGCATGCGTATGAAGTCCTCCTCATCGACACCCACATCCACGCCCCACACCCACATCCGACACCCACACCGACACCCACACCCACGCCCCACAGCCACACCCAAACCCATACATCCACACCAATCTACACCCAACACCCACACCCAAACCCAAACCCATAATAAATTTTTATACTCTATGACTCACGAAATGTGTAGGTTATCTATCACATAAATCAATGAAAGTATTTGACATAGATCATATAAATATTTCGACGATATTAAAAGATGAGATAGCTTCTGTTTAAGGTGTATGAAAATTCTTCATCATGATGGAAATAACTACTAAAATGAAATCGAAAGCATTATCTAATGGAATATTCGCCGCATGTTTGCAATCTATCAAGCATATTCATTTAATTTTTTTACTAGGCTGATTCTTTTCATATACTTATTAGAAATATTAAATCGTATCTCAATTTTCAACAAATAAAGAAAATATGTGATGGATTTTGAAGAATCCCACTCATTATTTTGTTTTATTCAATAAATTGAGTTTGAATGGGAATAAGAAGATTCACACTCATATCTATATTTTTCTAGTTTTATGAATACGTTTTATAGATGAAAAATATTAATCAAACTCATCATTGATTTTGTGAACTGTAAGTTATTTCTATGGTTTTATTTGATCGACTATTATTTTCAAATTTAATTGTTAAAAAAATCATCGGATCCAACAATAGAATTAAACTGTCTAAAAGAAAGAAAATTGTGTTACTCCTAAGAAAATTCTTAATAAAGATGGTAGCGATGAACTTCAGTAAAATTAACTAAAGTTATGGAAAATAAAATAATCATTATATGTATAAATTTTTATTTAATTACATGATTTCTTATAAATAATAAACCAGTTAAAACTAAAGATGTTCATATTCTTCTTAAAGATGCCATTTAACTTACGAGGGAAGGCCACCAACTTTTCAATCGCTTTTGCTTTGAAACTATTTGCGTTATGTAGTTCCCAAAGAGTTATGAATACGCCGAAAATATTCTGGGCGGATAGCTTATTGTTACGAAAATAGTTCATTTGTAAGATATGTTTTTGATGAATGCCGTGATCCCTCTCAGGAATATTAGAAAAATTGATTTTCGAATTTCGACTTGAAACTTCACATAGAAATACTTCTCAACGAGAATAGTGCTTTCTGAAAGTTTTAGGTCTTTTGATTGTTTGTTTCACCAAATCTGCTACTTTATTTGAAGGATATAAAATACAAATTTCACAATAGCAGTGTCTAGTCACAAGAACACTAAAAAGATCTGAAACGTTCACAAAAAGTTGTTCTCCTTGGGGCATCTTTCTATGTAAAGTTTCAAGTCGAAATTCGAAAATCAGTTTTTTTAATATTTCTGAGGGGGACCCCAGGCACTCAATAAAAACCATACCTTACAAATGGACTATTTTCGTTACAATAAGCTATCCGTCCAAAATATTTTCAGCGTATTCATAACTCTTTGGAAACTACATAATGCAAATAGTTTCAACGCAAAAGTGATTGAACAGTTGGTGACCTTCCCTCGTTAGACATGATGCATTGCATCGCATTGTTCAATCATGTGATCAAGAAAAATCGATAAAAAAAACTATTAACACAATTTCTTATGGATTACAACGTAAACTATATGTAATTTCTCAACTAAAACTGAATCAGTGTTATTTTAGATTTGTTTATAAATTTCTCATTTTCTCATTCAACAATTTATAAATATAGACAATAAATATTTAGTTCGAAAGTAGTTCTGTCGAATTCTGTCAAGATGGAAGTGAGGAACAGCCTAAACAATCTCAAGAAGGCGTATAAATAATTTAAGAAAGATCACTGAACTTAAAGTCTTACTTTTGCTATAGACTTTGTTTAGTATTTGTCTATTAGTTGAATGGCAAATACTAATTTTGAACGATTGATGATTTCAACAAAAGTGCCTATCTTCTTAAACATCTAAGCTTATATGACACGAGTTTTGTGCAATACTTTATTTAACAACCAAACTCTCAGGTTTTATAGGTAAGAGCAGTCTGAAAATAGTAATTGCCATTTTTGGTGTTAAACATTTCAATAATTAAATAGTCTGTTTATCTACTAATTTTATTTTTAAGTCATTTTGATTCGTCATAAATGCACTGAAATCAACTCTTACATACGAACAAAAGAAATCGTTTCAACTGTAGGTCTGTAATGTTCGTGAACGAAATACGAACAATTACAGGAACAAAGTAGTCTAAAAGGCTCGAAAGCGATGTGGCAAGAAACTAAATATTGCACAATGGGTTCACATGGATCTCGTAATAACTACGGAGAGTCAAGATATTATGATTGTGTAGTCTCTTTTTTAGAGCATGTCTTGTTTTTTATTTTATAATAGGTTTTATAAAACTATGTTCGATGGTTATAAAATTTTGAGCACGAATCAAAAATGTTATTCAATGTCTTGCGAAGCTTTGAACACTTGTAAATTTACTGAGTCAAATGTATAGGATATTTCAAAAAATAAAGCAACAATTAATGCGCAAGCGTTACAACTACTGGATAAGCATCCAATGCAGTCTCTTTCAACAAAAGCATCAAGTTTTATGGCTGAAATCTCAAATTAAAACTGCCGATAGGTGTATCGACATCAACTCCATGTGTTCCAGCATTTAATCCAAGTCCAAGAACAGATGCACTAACATTAGCTGTTGATAAGTCGACTTCAGCTTTAACACTCAATCCAATATTTGCTTCAAAATTTTCATTCTTTAAAGACTTAATATTTAATTCTGCACTAATAACAGCATTCATTCCATCTGCTCCAATGCATACTTTTGCATAGGCTTGTCCTTAACCAACACTGATATCAGTATCTCCTAATTTATGTTTAGAAAGATATCCATCGACGCGAGCATTCACTTTAAGACCATCGTTTCCAAGTGTTGCATCTGCATCAACTTGACATGCTAAAAGAAAATTTATACCGTCAGAATAAAGTGAACCATCTGTCTCTATATGTGCAGCATCATAGAAATCAGAACAAAATTGATCGATTTCTTCATTAACACTATTATCCAAGAGTTCTGTTACAGCACCTGTTAAATTTTCAGTAAATGATGCTTCTGGATCCAATTAAAAATTTCCCAATGGTGTATCTACACTAATCCCACCTAAACCAACGTTAAAATCAACCTCACCAATAGAATAATTTACATCTAGTGATGGCAGATCAAGTGCAGGGGGAGCAGCTTCAGTCAAATATTCTTTTGCGATATTCTTTTCATTTTCTAAACATGATGAGGTAAGGTCAAGTTTTAAGTTTCCCAATGGTGTATTTATATCAACACCATCTAATTCAACGTTAAAATCAATTCCATTAATAGAATAATTTACATCTGGAGACAAGAGACAGTAAGTAGATGCAGCAGCGTAGATCAACAGTTCGCTGTCAATATCTGTTAGATCACTAGAGAATATTGTTTAATCATCGTCTTCTTCATATTCATAATCACTTTCGGTATCACTCATTGTGTTCAACCCTGAATCAACAGAAACCAGAAATTTGTATTTAACTGTGAATCAAACTTTTCAAAATAGCATGTGTGAATTATTTTCGTGTAGGTATGACATCATAACACATGAAATGAAATCGATAATAACGTATTTCTTTCATACTTATTGAGTTACGATCCGTACACAAATAAAGCTATATTTTTTCTATTATAATGAACATCGTATCGACAAAGGTTTTCTATCGCTGCCATTACTTCGTCACATATGGAAAAACTAAAGGTTTCCTGTGAAACATCGATACATCGAGAGAGAGAAGAGAAGAACTACATCCCTATCTCTACACTAAGTCAATTTATCAAAACCCTCTGCTGGAGCAAAATAACCCATGGTCTTCATTATACCATTGGTACAGAAATAAAATCGATATTACTGTTTAGCTCTCTGAACAGTATCTGAAACTTTCAGCCGTTAATTTTACAACTAAGTAAACTTTTCCAGGAACAAAGATTATGAACTGAAATGTTTTTACAGTCTTATTATTTGTGGTGAACTATATACATTGCTAACATTACGTAAAATTTTTATTTTAACAGCAAGAGAAAATATCATCGACAATATCAGAAAGCAAGACTATCGAAATGACAGAATTCACTTTTGCAGAAAAACTTCAAAAGTCAATTCTGTATAGACT